TGCTGGGGCACTGTTTGCCTTATAGATGGCCTGCTTCTTAGAGATGAGCTAACGATAGTGGAAAGAAACCTAATCAAACAAATCTCATTATTAACTCCAAAGAAGGGGAGGGAGCAACCTCTAACCCTTTAAGTTCCCACAAGGAAGATACAGCCACAACATATTACATGGAAATAGTACCTATTCATTTGCAATTGTGTAAGCACTGAATCTGTTTTCAGACCTCAGGGGTCAATGGTTGGGGGTTGAAATAATCAAACTCCCAAATTGCTGGGTCACCAGCACTGGTCCTAGCACAGCCCTTCTTATTTATTTGTCTATTCCCCTTCATTTCCTTTCCTCTATATGTGAACTACCTTTTATATTTGAAGTGCACAGTTTCATTTATATGAGTTCTTTTTCAAATAAATATAATACTATTCACATGAATCTGAAGCTTGCATATGCATTATTTTGCTCCATATCTCATCTCTTCTTTCATTCAGCAGTATTCTTTAGATCCATCCACTATGTGCTTCGGTTCACTTGGCACTTCTATAACAGACTACAATAACAGACTTGGTCTTTTAAAATGCACAGAAATTTATTTCTGATGGATCTAGAGGTAGAGAAGTCTGAGGTGGAGAGCCAAGTATCCATCAAGTGGCTTTTTTGCTACTTTGTTCTATGATAGAAGGCAGAGGGTGAAGAGAGAGCAAGAGGATGAACAGGAAGGCAAGGCGCTACTGAACTCGTCCTCTATAAGGCACCCAATCCCATAATAATGACATTCATCATTTCATGAGAGCAGTATCTCATAACCCAAGCACCTCTGGGTTCCTGCTTCCCAACACTTACACACTGGGATCAAGTTTCTGACTTGAAATTTTGGAAACACATCCAAACCATAGTGCTGAGCACACGCCTAAGTCATTGCTGCATATTCACAAGCATTCCCTAATCTATATTCATTCTATGTGTTTATTTGGACCCTTATTGAACAACTGAATTGTTTCCAACTTGCAGCTACAATGAGCAAAGTGGGGAATTTCTGTAGGGTGTGCATCCTAGGATGCAAGGGAGTTGATGAAGAGACATGAGGTGCTCTCCAGAGTTGATGCCCTGACCTACACTTCTTGCAGGGATAAGCAGTCTTAAATTGGAAAATCTGTCCTAGCTGCCAACCAGCTCCTCACTCCTGGTAGGTCGGAGAAGTGTAAGGTAATATTTAGATATCTGCATATTCACCCATGTTTCAGCATCTTTCTGTTGCTTGTCACCACATGGGTTGTCTCATTTGAATCAACTGCTTATAGATGTTTAATTTCTAATCGTGATTCACTTGTTCCTTTTAGTCTTGCATGAAATCCTTATAGTCAAGAACTTGGTACCTTTTTGCTTAGAAAACTAAGCAATAAGAGCAAAAGACTACTAATAATGTCTTAAAAACAAAGTGGGTGTCAACGGACGGTGCTGATCAAACTAGAGACCTACATCTAGAAAAATGCAACTAGGCCATTATACCTTTCCCTACACAAAACTTGATTCCAAATGGCTCAAGGACTTCATCAAAAGACCCAATACCTTGACTGGGTTAGAGGAGAAAGTAGAGAACATGCTTTAAGAGACAGACCCGGGAAAGGACTTTCTGAATAGGATCCCAGCAATGCAAGCATTAAACCAACAGCTGACGAAGGGGACCTCAGGGAGCTAAACTTTTTGCTAGATGGTGTCTAACAAAAGACACCATTACTTCAATAAAGAGCCAACTTATAGAGTAGAAAAAAAATTTATCTTTATTGGCTACACATCTGACAGAGTGTTAAAATATCTACATTATACAAAAAAAAACCCACTAACTTACCTCCAAGAAAACAAACAACACAATTAAAAATGAAGGCATGGAATTAAACACAGAGTTCTCAAAAGAAGAAATAGTAATGGAAGAGAGGATTTTTTTTTTAATATTTAAGAGGCTGAAGAGAAGGTCCAGTTCGACAGATACATCACATCACACTTCCTGTCCCTAAGGCAGGGATTATTGTGGAAGGTGATAGAGAGACTGTAAAAGACAGAAGTAGTCGATATCAATGGGAAAAGAAGAATTAAACTCAGGTAATTGCTCTTACATACTAAGACATCTCACTGGCCTGGTGTGGGAAGTCTTTCTGTATACATGTTGCTTTTATTGGTTAATGAATAAAGCTGTTTTCAGCCAATGGCTTAACAGTGTAAATCCAGGTGAGAAATCTGAACAGAGATGTACAGAGAGAGTAGCTGGAGTCAGGGAAGTCATGTAACCATGGCAGGAGACAGATGTCGGAAACCAGAAGGAACCTTACTGGTAGGCCACGACCTCATGGTGATGCGCAGATTAAAGGAAATGGCTTAGTTTAGAATATAAGAGCTAGCTAGCAATACATTTGAGCTATTGGCCAGACAGTATTATAAACAATAAAGTTTCTGTGTGATTATTTTGAGTCTGCATGGCCGGGAACAAATGAACAGCCTCTGACTATATTGGCCCAAGAATCGGGATTTTAAATTGCAATGTGTGCATATTTGTGTGTGTGTGTGTGTGTGTGTGTGTGTGTGTGTGTGTGTGTAATCAAACTACAAGGGCAATCATGAGAGGGAACAGATCTTCTGTGGTAGGAAGCTGAAGGCAGGACTCACTAGAGGATGGAAGAGAACTAGAGGCCCTGCCAGAGAGCACAGGGGCACAGTGAAGAGATGAATGTGACAACCAAGCATGACACACATCTATGAAAATGTCACAGTGAGGGCTTGGAAGTTAGCTCAGGGGGTAAAGTGCTTGCTGCGCAAAAAATGAGAGTCCGAGGTCCATCTGCGGATCTCACAGAAAAGGACTGTGCAGTGGTGAGCATTTGCAACCCTGGCACTGAGGAGGCAGAGACTGGCAGGTCCCTAGGGCTTGCTGGTCAACCAGGCCAGCTAAATAGGCAGATTGGGGGCCAATGAAAGACTCTCACACAAAACAAAGTGGATGGCATCAGAGAAACAACACTCGGAAGTTGGCTTCTGGCTTCCACATTAACACACAGAGTGGGGGAGAGAGGGGAGAGAGGGAGAGAGGAAGGGAGGGAGAAAGAGAGGGAAGGAGAAAGGAAGGAAGGAAAGAAGGAAGGAAGGAAGGAAGGAAGGAAGGAAGGAAGGAAGGAAGGAAGGAAGGAAGGAAAGAAGGAAGGGAGAAAACTATACACACAACACACCGGCACATGTACAAACTACCATGTTTGTACTGAGTCCCAGGACTTTTTTTTTTAATACTAAAACAGAAGTGCTGGGGAGATGGCTCAGTGATAAAACCACCCATCCTGTAAGCATGAGGACCACACTGCTGACCCCAGAACCCATGCCAATCCTAGTGAATGACAGCTCACCTGCAATTCCAGCACTCAGCAGGCAGGGATCCCTGTAGCAAACTTGCTAACCAGACTAGCAGAACCTGTTAGGTCTGGGTTCATTTAAGAGCTCTTACCTCAATAAATAAGATAGAGAACAGTGGCAAAAGAGTCCCAGTGTCGTTCTCGGGCCTCTGTAGGCAAGTGCACATATGTACACACACACACACACACACACACACACACATACACACACACACACATATGAGAGAGAAGGGGGAGGGAATAGAAAGGAAATGAAAAGGAAACATTAATTCAAGTATGTGTGTTAGATGGAGAAAACACAAATATAAGAGATTGCCAGGAAAATCAGGGACAGAAATAAAAGAAGGAATCAAAAACAAGAGAGAGCCAGAAACTTAAAAGATTGCCTTTCTCCATTCTATAGCTTGTAAAATGACTTGACTTTTTAGGCTATGTGTTCTCGTGATGTTTATAAAAATACATCTTTAAAACTGTCTTTCCAGATGTAAAGACACTGCAGCAGCTTAAATCTCTGCGTTAACTGCTCTCAGCGCATCAAAGGAGGCATTTCCCTTCCAGTAAGAAACTGTTGGTGCAGAGGGCTAACATACATCGTTGCATGTTTTCCTTATCCATTACTGAACAAGTCTTGGACTTACGCCTAAATTCCAGTTTATAATGGTATCCAAAAGCATTTACATTTCAGGGGTTTGGAGCGTGAACTGTCAGGCAGGATGGAAGAGACACAAGGCACATAGACACAAGCCTATGCCTGAAGGCCCTTGCTTACGGATGTGCATGGCCCGAGGCAAGCCAACTTCCCTCTCAGAACCTCAGTTTCTGCATCTTTGCAGTTAAATGATGAGTCAGTACTTCGTGGGAAGTCTGGGTTTTAATGAGAAAGCCCTCCTATCATGCCTGGCTCATAGCAAGCACTTGGTAAATGACAGCCGTAAGCTTGTGAGAGCTACACTGTGAAGCTTCTTCCAGCTTCATCTTGGCCCTCCAGTTTGAAATTCTCCCTTCTGTTCCCATACTCTTTACTCTTAAGTCAGACCATTAGCAAGTTTTGTTTGCTTGTAAGGTTAGATAAGGTCTCTAGGTAGTCCCATCTGGTCTACAGGTCACTCTATAGACCATGCATATAGACCATGTTAGACTCAAACTTGAGATTTGATCCTCTTGCCTCTGCTCCAATATTTCTGCTTCTTACATAATTACACTGAAGAACAAAGCCTCAGCCTCTAAGTCCTAGATCCGTTAACTCCAAGTCCAGCTGCAAGCCTTGAGCAGCAATTCATGTGCATCTCCTAAGCCTCCATATTTGCAATGATAAAATGAGAAACAAAAAGCATGAAAGTGTCCAGGACGATGGTGAAGGGTGTGTAGATGTTCAAAAAGCTGGTGGGTGATCTCCGGTCCCGATGCATACCGTCCACTAAGCCAAACGCCCCATATTCTTTCACTAGCCCATGGGAACATTTTTTGAATATTTAAGTTTCCTCTGCCCTCCAAAAGGATGCCTGAAAGATGTAAATGTTCTAGATATAAAGGATTACACAGAAATTTTCAACCCTTTTGCTTCATACTGTGTCAAATAATTGGATTTACACGGTGATCTGAGGTGTCAAACTGTCCAGGTTACTTTAATTGAATTAATTTCCAATGAGCTTTGCAATACTTGGCAAGGTCTTACACATTTGTCTAATATGATCAAACCAGCATTTAAGAAATTGCTAGTGAAACTCAAAATATTTTTGTGAGTCTTGTTCATCTTTCAAAAACAATCCAAATCCTAAAACTTCAAATGTATGAAACATCTAAAGCTGCCGTCCCCAAAGGATCCTGATCCCAAAAGACACTTCCAGAGGGTCTTCCCAAGGGGCTTGAAATGGCTGTTTTACAAAACTCTTCCAGGCACACAAATCGTCAGGAACACAGCAATTGCCCAAGTCTAGAAGACTCGGCTGGAACAGTATCCCGACTCCCAGCTGCCTGCTTGACACCCGTTTTCAAAGTGAACAGGAGATCCGTTTAAATCACCACGCTCCTTCCTGAGCCGTCTCTTTCCCTCTCATCCTCCCCGCTGCTCTGGTGTCCTGTCGGGGAGAAGATGTAGGGCTCTCTAAATAGTTGAGTTCAGCAATCTTCTAAAATGCTGATGCAGCTCCCATGGCTAAGAGAATGCAATATTTCTGCGACAACTTTCCATAATCCCAGGGGCGGCTCTCTTAGGTCAGCAGAGGTGAGCGCGGTTCCCTGTCAACTGGAAGAGATTACGCCAGGTTTCATTTGTAGCTAGGAAGAATCCCCCCCCACACACCTTTTCTTTTATACCTGAATAAATCTACAACTAGCACCAAATTCTTAAAGACATCACAGCATTTCTCTTCCGTCCTCTTCTCTGGTGTCATCTCCCACACGCCTGGCTGATGACTACAAATACATTGTTGTCAGCCGTTCAAGCACACACAAAATTATTTTGATGCTGTGGTCCATGGAAGTGAATTCAATCTTAGGTAGCTATTATGAACCACAAAGATATAGACAGACCTTTTTATTTGTAAAGCACCTGGACATACATATCTGTTCTTTCCAAAAACAGTATAGCGAATGCCACCTTCTTGATACAAACAGGAAATAACTGGACGTGGTCCCCCTTGCGGCCACTTCCCCAGAGGCTGCCTCTAGACAGGAGGCAACGCTTTGATGAGCTCTGAACACTACAGCAGGGTCAGGGAGCACCCGGTCAGGATGCCCTGAGGTCCCAGTCACACCTGTGTCGTCTTTCTCAGACAATGCAAGAGCACACGACCACTTAGAGGGATGACAGGAATGAATCAACAGTCAGCATTCCGAAAGTTCGATCTGTGTAGGGCTCCTGTAGGAAGACAAGGATGTAATTCAGTTATAAACGGAAAGCACCCCTGCTGTGGGCCAGCACTCTGCTTGTTTTCCATGCATGTGTCCCTTAGTGCTCCCGGCAAGTCAGTGCAGTCGTGGTTGCCCTTGTTCCCACTTCTCAAACGAGGAAATGGGTGATTAAGCCACTTATCCAGGTGGCGTCACAGCCTTCACGCCACTCCCTCTGCTCTCCACTTCTCACCACTATCCAATCTGCTTCATGGTTTGTTGGTTTGTTTGTTTGTTTGTTTGTTTGTTTGTTTGTTTGTTTTTAACCCCCAAAAGCAAAAGAGCCAAGAGCAACACTTGAAGCTCCAGATCCCAAACTCGAGTAAATTTATCAACATGATCTTAGGCTTGGAAAGCAGGACTGTTTTCAGTCCTCAGACCAAACTGGAAGCATCCATCACATGGCCAGATAGGGAAAGAATTCACTTCAGCACTTCTACTTCATTCTGATCATCGTGATTTCCTGTAGCCCAGAACATACCCACAGTCAGGAACCATCCTGAGAAATCTTTGTTCTCCACTCCTAGGGGCCACTAGCCACCCAGTTGAGGTTGTCTGAGCACCCTGAAGAAACTACGGTGTGCTGGAGAGTTAAAGATGGACAGAACCATCTTTTTCACTGGGGAGGCAGCTCTGAGGTTTTTGTCAGGCAGAAGACAACCCAACCATTGCTTTCCACCGTTATCATACCATGGTAAGGGTGGGGGCCTATGGCTGGCCAGAAGTGAAAACAAAGTACTCACAAAGAATGGTGGGCTGTGAATCATCAACATGACAGTGCTGAACTGGGCTTTAGAGACTGTGTAGGAGCTGACCATGGTGTCAGGGAGAAAAGAGGGGTCCTGGGCAAAGGATGGCCACGGTAGGGCGGGAACATAGTGAGAACTGGGTAGAAAGAAAACACATGCTGTAAACTAAGAGCACAGATGTTGTAAAAGGAGCGGTGCCAATTGTTGTAAAAGGAGCAGCGGACCGCTTCCTGCAGCCCAGCTCCTGGCTAGCTTTACCCAAAGTAATTACATGGAAACTATATTCATTTAAACATTGCCTGGCCCATTAGTTCTGGCCTCTTATTGGTTAACTCTCACATCTTGACTAACCCATTTCTAAAAATCTGTATGTCACCACGAGGTCATGGCTTACTGGTATGAGTCTAGCCAGCGTCCGTCTGGGGAAGGGGAATCATGGCATCTGCCTGACTCTACTTTTTTTCTCCCAGCATTTTGTTCTGCCTACTACACCCATCTATGTTCTGACCTATCAGGCCAAGCAGTTTCTTTATTAGTTAACCAATGAAAACAACACATAGAAAGAAGACCCACCTACATCACACAGAACCTTAATTTGGTGTAACACAATGAGAGTTACAGTGTCGCTGTCTGTGAGTCAAGCTGGGATCTTACAGTTGCTGAGTCTCCAAAGGAGAAGCCAACAAACTTCAGTCTTTGGACTCCAAACCCCATCTCTTCCCAATGCTTTAAACCTCCATAGGGAGGTTGACAAAGCTCAAGAAAGGATTTCAGAGACAAGATTTCAATTTAATTCTAAGACCTTCCGTTTGGTGCTCTACAAATAAGAACAGTTGCATGCTCCGGGCAACTTCTCTGGGTCAGCCACTTGGTTCTCTCTAAGGTGCCTTTCTTGAGGCATGCATACAAAGTCTGAAGTCGGAATTCAGGCTATTGTCCCATTGCTCATTGGCCCTTTTAATCTGCTAGGGCTAATGTTGTTCTGTCAAGGTTTTAATCATATCTGTTCTCAGTTATTGACTTACATCTTTCCTGCTGCACAAAGACTTTTGTAGCCATTCATATAACAGACTGAAAAGACAGAATATTTGTGTTTTTAAAAAATCATCAAGACAGCTCTTCTCATTAAAACCAGAGGCGAGCTAAGGGACAAATAGGAGAAGGTTCAACAATTGGTAGGCTCTCTGCTGAAGCTCTGTTTGAGTTGTAAATTTTGTCATGTTTCCCAACAGCCAAGGCGAGATCTGCAAACTCATCAGTAATAGTTCTTTCTACCCACAAGAACTCTCAGGAGGTTCTCAGAAGATGCAGCTATTTTCCTAGCATACTTAACTCTAAATGTTTCTTATGAAGTGCCCTACATGGGACTCTGGGAAATGCAGGGACTAATATTAACAATGAGGTTCTTGTATATCCTTCATGTCCAGTGGAGGACTGCATCCAGCAATCTTCTCTTTTACCAAGCTGAACTGCGACTTGAATGTTTAGCATTTTCTGGCCATCTGCTTCTCATTCCCATAGGTTCCCTTAATCAGGGCACTAGCAACTCCTCTCTCTCTCTCTCTCTCTCTCTCTCTCTCTCTCTCTCTCTTCTTTCTTCCCTCTTTCATCCTTCTCTCTGTACTTCCCTAATTCTTTCACTGTAACCCTGTGTCTGTCTATCTTCCTCTCTTTAAATTCTTCTGTGACCCACAGGGTATTTCACAACGGATGCCTCCTTTGCTTCCACTTGTCGGCGACATATTTTTCAAATTAGCACTTGGTAGCTTTGGGGGAAACCCAGACACTGTTGGGAAGTGAGTGAGAGGCCAACTGAAAAAAAAGAGAGAGAGAAAAAAAACAGAAAAGAAAAAAAAGTCTGTTCCTTTCTCAGCTCATTATAAATTTGCAATACAAGCAAAGACAAATAAACAGCTAGATTCTGCAACCGATATAAAAGCCCTTTAGTTGGACAAGGCACCAAAGCCTAGTCTGCCATCAGATCCCATGCTATTTACAGGCTGGAAGCTAATTCTCATTCAGAATATCAGGGCATATCAGCTTTTATCCCCTCCTCTTTATCCCCCTCCTTCATTTTTTTCTCCTCCCTCCCTTTCCCAATTGCTCTCACCTCTTTTTTCTGCTTTTCTCGTCTCCTCTTCCTCCTCACTGTCTTCACTCCCATTATTGCCTGAGCAATAACAAGAGGCAGACAGACCACAGATGAATAGCTTACTCGGCATAGGAGACCCAGAATTCCCTCCTGCACAGGAAGCCACACCTGCCTCTGGAAGCTCTGGTCTCTGAGAAATGCCTGCTTCCGATACTACACTTTTAGCTCCTTGAGTTGTTTCCTTGCTCCTACTAGTAAAGGACCACAAGAAATCCAGCTGATCCTCACTAGCAAATGAGACAACATATACTCTTGCGAAGGCCTGTGCTGTAACTCTGTTCCTCCCCTTGTGAGGGCTGCCTCCACCCCGACTTGACTAAGTACTAAAGCACCCCACGGTGAGCTCTGGTCCTGGCAATTGCTAACAGAGTCCTAGGGAAAGTCCTCTGAAGCTTCCAAACCCTTGCTGTCTCCTATAGGTAACATGGATGATATCCTTGTAACTAGAGAACTGGAAGTCAAAATTAGGACTCTTCTGTCACCACAGAGCACTATGCAAATTTCAGTTGCTGTGGAAACCAGAAGTAGCCACCTTGCAAACTCTTCAGCTGACAATGGATGGTCTGAGTCCCCAGCTCGGGCACTGCATCTCACCCTGACATTGACTCACCAGCTGGATTTCTCTAAGCCTCAATTTCCCATAGTGACTGCGTTGACATAGGAAGTCACCTCAGAGCACAGGGCTGTTGGAGTCAAACGAGACAAAGCCTCAGGAAGGACTTTGCCATCTGTAAAATGCTAGACAAACACTAGCTGTAGTTTTCTTACGCAAGATCCAAAAGGCCCATGCTGTCACCAGCTTTGGGCCGTCACCCTTGGCGGGCTCTCGGCTGAGTTTATCACATTCCCTACAAGCTGTTGTCTCCTGCTGACAAATATCTAATTCTTTTCTCAATAACCAAGTTCCCTGAGTGGAGCCCGGCAATCTTCAGGGGAAATTAATCTCTTCCTGTCTTTGGGGTACTTCTTCTAGTCAGGGCAAAGAATAATTGACTAATGCGGCTGGAGGAGGGCAGAGTACAGTGGAAACGATGCCAGTCTTGAAGGGTGAAGATCCGTCTCAGATGCCAGAGTTGGCTGCGTGATCCTTGGGATCTTGGCTCCTCTAACCCTTGGCTTTTCTTCCTGGGAAATGGGTTCATTAATAAAACTATTTTCATCCAAACTCTTGAAGGAAGATTGAAGAAGATCAAGCCTGTTCACAATGACACACAGAGAGAAGCACACACACTTTATTATCACTATTACCTGGCAGGGCACCTTAATGCTCCAGATAGGTACCTTACTGAATATGACCATGGGCCAGGTACTATATATGATACTATATGCTACTGCATCTAGTTTTTACAGGAGACCAGATCTCACCCTGTGAATTTGCCACCTCGGTCGCTTCCCTTTTACTGACAACGACATGGAAGCTGAGAAGGGAAGGGAAGTAAGTTATAAGAAAGTACTGGTCTCAGGATGGCCAGATTCTTTAATTCCAAGTTTATAGTCTTTCTATTGCTGTCTGATACAGATTGCTCTAACTTCTCAAGGCTCAACTCTGGGAGGAACAGACTTTCAAATATGCTTTCTTCTCACTGTTGACTTTCGGTACATATTTTCTTACATGGCTTCCCCCAGAGGCAGACTCTCAGGACAAAGACTTGATTGTTAGTAGTTTGACAGAGACTCCAGGGACTCTTCAGAGGGCCAGAAGACAGTCAATGGGGTTTTCTTGCAAGCATAAAAGCTTGTTGGAGACAAGTTTTAGAATTATCCCTTTCCTCTGAGTGAAGAGCTAGTATTTACACACAAGTTCTGGGCCGTGGTTTGTAGACTTCTTGCCCTGCAATGGAGCAGAGTAAACACTCATAAACATACATACCTTCATGAACATACACATCTTCATATACTCCATGAGGCAGGGAAGGTCTTCCAAGCAAGAAACACAGATGCTGGAAAGCCACAGCATGACAATACATAAGTGAACGAAGACCACGTGAACAAGCAAACGTAAGAATGATGAGGGAAGAGTAGAAGAACAAAGAGAGAGGAAATAAAAGTAAAGAAAATTACTAAAGTACTGCCTTACGGATTTGATAGGCTCAAGTTCTTCTTATGCTATGATATCATACATTAGAGGTCTAAGGCAGACCAGGTTATTGTTCCAACCTTTCATTCTCTATACACTAATAGGATTATAAAGCCACACCTTCTACCATGGAATTTCTAGTGCCACCCCACTTTGACTGTGATGCGCTTCCTTGTTCTTTGGCCATGTGACTTGCTTTATTTAAGTGGATGGCAATAGGTGTGTGTGTGTGCGCGCGCGCACACGCACATGCACATAGGCTCCAAAAGATTTGCTTATTAGGACTTGAATTGCTGCACCTTATGCAAGAGTTCTCCTGATGATTTTCAAAGACAGATATGCTACTCCCACAAGGCCAGCCTAGACAAGCCAACCCCAGGCAGTTCCAAACTCATGGGTCAACCCAGATCAGTCAGCCAGCTCAACTTAGGCTACAACGACTGAGCTAAACCACATACTCACGAAAGGAAAAAAAAAATGCTACTGTCATATAACATTGAGGTTTTGGTTGGTTTGAGGCTGTGAAGTCATGGGGAACTACTGTGAAAACTACTGCTATTTTCTCTGGTAGCATCAACTATTCCTCTTTAAAATAAAATTCAAACCATGTTTTGCTGGTGAAGGCTTCTTGTTCATTCCTGGCCGCTCAGACCCGAAATAATAACACAGAAACTATATTATTTACAACACTGCTTGGCCTATTCGCTTATGCATATTTCTATCTCACTCTTATATCTTAAATTAACCAATTTCTATTATTTTATATTTTACCATAAGGTGTGTGGCCTACCGGCAAGGTCCTAGCTGACAGCCTGCATCCTTCTTCTCTGGTGGCTCCATGGCTTCTTTCTCTCTGCATACACACACTCTCTCTCTCTAGGTATCTAGATAGATAGATAGATAGATAGATAGATAGATAGATAGATAGATAGAT